AAGGTGCTTAAGACCTTAGCCAACACCTTCCTGACGATGAACCATTTGTAGACTAAATAATTAGACTACGTCTAATTATCTAGAATATGCTCATGTCAGGAGGGTTGTAGAGACATTAGATACTTTTAAAGCAGGAAAGATGAAAAATGAGCAAAGTATTCGCCGGGAATTGAACCACGGACTGCACGCACCGGGCATACCAGCACACCACGAAGACATGCCAAGAAGGCGGGACAAATACCTTATATACTCCCCCTTTTAAAGGGCGACTGGGGTTTTTAGAGGTCCCATTCGCCAAATCCTGGGTGAGGAGAATCATCATCCAACACCCTTTTAGTTCGGGCGCCACTGTAGAGGTATTTTGGAATTTAGAAATTAGGTATTTTGGAAACAGGAGCCATGAAAAATGAGCAACGCCTTCTCCGGGAATCGAACCGCGGATCTCTGGAATACTCGTCCAGTGTGCAGACCACCACACCACGAAGGCATGTCAAGTAGTGGGAAGAAACACCTTATAGGGTTATTTACAACAGCAGTATAGCTGTTATAGAAAGATATAATGTTCTATAGGTTATTTGAGTGCTGCCAAGAACAATACTGCTATCTGTTTGCGAGGTAGACGCCTTCGTGGGAAACTTTCTAAGAGAAATCGGCTAATAGTTACGTTACATATGATTAAAACCACTAAAACTAACAATGCAGCCAACCCTTTCGCCTAGGATCGAATACAGGTCGAACTTCTAGTATTCAGTGGTATTAAACACACGGCCATTACTGAGACATAAATATTCTATCGAAAAAATTTTCAAAAAGGAGGTAAAGAATATGGGGATAAAATACTGAAATAGGGCGGTATTGATAGCAGGAAAAATCTCAATTTTAATAATATTTCTATATTAAAATAGATTTATTAGTATTGAATAAGATAGAATAATAAGCACATTTGAAAGCTTCGAGATTTTATATAATGCTCAAAGGGGCGCTTTTTTTTATTTACACAGACATACATGTTTCCAGAGCTTTTAGGCTTAAAATATATCTTTAGGATTTCCGATAAATAAAATCGCTTTCGCGCTGGAGATAAAAATGGTTTATTCTTTACAGTATTTCCACTGTTCGCTTTGAAATCGTTGACTTTTTTAAAATACATATTTTAGAATTCAATGAAAGAGTAAAAAAATACAGTCCGATTCCTTAATTTTTTTTTCAAATTTTGCTATATTTTAATAAAAGAGATTTTTTTCTATTTCCGTTGCCTAGGAAAACTTTGTAAAATACTACATCAGTGAATGTGAAATAAGTTTCTACTCCTGCCTCTTAAATTAAAATTTCATAATCTCGGTAACTTTTAATTTCGCGGTCACAGGTAATATTCCAAATTTATGCAGTTCAGCACTGAAAATTTCAGCGTAACAATACAATCTTAAAAAGAAGACATTGAAATATTTGTTTATCATGCATAAAAGGCTCCAACAAATCAAAAGGGATATTTATACAGTACATTGCCCTTTTTTATCAAAAGGATTATTCCATACAGTTTCTAACAACCTCTTACATTGTTAAGGAAGTCTATTCTTAAACAAGCAACAGTCTTATTACGTAACAAAGAGACCAGCAGTGTTGGAAATCCAATCTGAACGATTCACTTCAAGTAAAAGTTTTATTTCGTTTCTGGAGTGAACTGCTTTCAGAAAGTGATTTTGTTTGCTAATTTAAAGCTTTAGAGATAAGCTATTTTATAATTGAAAAACGCTTTTAGGTGGTGTGAGTGAGCCGCAAAACGGCGATTGCAGTACATAATGCGTGGACTGCTGCGTAAAATATTTTTAACATTTTCTTCCTTGATACCAACAACGATTGCGGTATTTGCTTTTACCTATCTTGGATTGCAGGCAAGTTGAATGGTTATATTCTTTTATATAACAATTATTTTTGTATTATTTTATGCAAGTAATAAAATCATTGCATACAATTTGCAAGACAATGATATTCTAATTAGATATTCTGATGTAGAACGTAATATTATGGACCTATCAATGTCGCCAACTAAAAAATGTATTAAACGAAAAACCGCTATTGAACGTTCTGATTTTTGGACTGAATGTCATGTATATAATCAAAAAAGAAGTATCTCTCTCGAAAATTCTAATGTTAATGAAAAGGAAAAAAATTTGGTGAAAATACTCTCGGTGAACGAAACGAAAAGTGATGAAAGTGAAAAATGGATTAATCTAATTGATGCTGATGCAAATGATAGTAGAAGAAGCCTTAACAGAGAAACACTCGGGCGATATACGGAACATCCAATTTCGAATGAAAATAAAAGTATCCAATGTATGAATCCATTCACGCATGACCGAGATAAGCATGAGCAGCATCAACATTAGAAATACGAATCGACTGCATGCCATTAATGTAAAATATCTACATACAGAATGTGATGAAACTGATACTTATGCAAACAGTCAAATTTTTCCAAAGGACAAGTATGAATGTTTTGAAGAAAGCGTATTTGCAACGATTAAAGAAAACACCATACATGAAATTTACAATGAAGTACCTTACTATGATGAAAAAGTTACGAATGAAGAAGAACTGGAGAATAATTCATGCCATGGATATGACTCTACTGAATCAGAAGAAGTCGCCGTTATAGATTCTGTAAATTGTGAAGTGCCTTTTAATCAATGCATAGAAAATGGGACCTCCGCTAAGACCGAATCTGATACAGAATGTAAGAAACCCCTGGAGAAATGCGAGAAGAACATCGACACAATTAGTAGAAATATGCACATACAAGATGATAGCAATTTAGCTGGAGTATCCACAGGATTCTACAGAATGGATTCCACTCACGCTAGTCAGTTTACACCGGATAGTGGAAATGACTTTTTAAGAAGCGAGACAGTAAAAATGAAACTAAACTTCGCTCACGGAGGTTCAAATATATTGCTAGATTCTGGCGATAATATCATCGACGGCCAAAACCATGAGAATATTTCAAGTGACAATATTGGCTATACCGGAAGACACAACAAACCGAAGGATTCAGGGCAAGGATTGCTTTTAAATACGATTTCAAATGTTAACAAACGAAAGGAATCTTCAATACGGAAGACGAAGACATCAATCCCACTGAAATTAATTTTGAAAGACTCAAGACACCTCTTCTAGACGTCAAAGATGATGGCGAGAGAGATTGGTACCACTTGATGTTCTTCGTGTAAGCGCGGTAGCCAATGAATACACATAACTAAAATTAAAAGAGAGTGAAGAACAAAATAAGACTGTTCTTTTTACCGATGTATCTTTGCAACATTCTGAAGCTGAGACACAGCCAACAGGACATAAAGGAAATCTTTTAAATGATTTTCGTCCGTATTATATTAACTCTCGCGTTAGGAAACGTAATGTCATTCGAAAAAGAATAGAGGGACATGCACCTCTACTGCTTTGTCTATATATCACTAGCATCTGTGCTGGTTATTACATTGGAACCTTGTTCAAGAAATGAGATGATTTGTTTAGTTTTATGAAATATGAATGACCATTAAACTCAACAACGCAAAAAACGTAAAATTCAAAACGTATATTGAAAAAATATTTTCTTCGCATAAAATGCATATTGATGACCAGTTTTAATATTTTAATGCTGTAGCCTCAAATATAAATGTTGTTCGATGACAACTTCTATTCTAAGTTTAGTCCTGTAAATCACGTTAAGCCGTTGAAGCATGATTTATAAGAACTGTTTTGCAAAATCAGAAAGAGATCTGAATAAAAAAATATATTAGAATTAGTTGGAGAATGTTTTTCACTTTTTTGTATGCCTTTAGAGCCCAAAACTCGTCTTAAAAGTTCTTTTACCATTCGTTCCAACCTCTCCCAAAATCCTCCCCACCAGGCCTCGGTTGGAGGATTAAACTTCCATTTAATCTTCTCAATTGTTGAGAACTCCATTATTTTTTCCCAGTCAAGTTCGTTTAGTGCATTATTCGTTCCTACAAAGTTGGTACCATTGTCAGTATATAAGATGCTTATTCTACCCCTTCTTGCAATGAATCTTCGGAGTGCCATTATAAATGAATCTGCTGATAAAGATTTCGTCAATTCAAAGTGCACAGCACGATAGATCGCACAAGTAAAAATCACAATCCATGCTTTTTCGCCAGACAATACATACAATGGACCAGCCAAATCGATGCCAGTGACCTCAAAAGCTCCAGCATATTTAATGCGGTCCTTTGGTAAGGGTGCAAATGGTGGTTGAACAGATTTGCCTTTGAATCTTTTACAAATAACATACTTTGAACAAATTCTCTTCACAAGACGTCTCACACCGACAATCCAATAATCTTCTCGCAAGTTGCAGATCAAGGTCCCTGTACCTGCATGCTTGCAGTCGCCGATGTTTCTGTTTCTATTAGGCGATGAACTAGTGCATGGTTCCCTGGCAATAGAATAGGACACTTAAAGTTTTCGTCTTCGTCACTTAAAATTAGTTTGGTTCTTACTCGAAGAAGTCCAAAGTCATCCTTAAATGTAATCATCCCTTTCAAATTTTTTCCATCAGTATTCCGAAAGTTTTCGGCTTGGATTAAATATAACAACTTTTTCTCTGCAAAACTCACTTCTTCTGAGGTTAATTCCTTATTAAATTTTTCGTTTTTTCTATTGCGACTGTTGTTAAGAAATCTAAAGATCCAAACTAATACTCTCACATTTTTATAATATCCAGAAAATGGAGTGAATGTTTCTGTGAAGTTTGGGATTCTACAGGAAACGCTAGAAACCACATTATTCCTTTTTTCTGAATTAACTGTACTTTCATCAGTTTCTAGTTCTGAATCTTCAGAGAGGCCATTTCTCCGGCTCCTGTTTAAGCCAATTCGGCCCCTACCACCATCTGCTCTGTAGCAACATTTTGGCATCGCACCCTCTAAAGGGAAGATCAGCTGGATTGATTTAGCTTGGTACGTAATGCCAGTCGTCCGGATTTGTCATCTCCTTATTTCAGCTACACGATTGGCCAGTGGGACACTCCAGTGGGAGTCTTTTTTGATCCATGTCAGAACTACAGACGAGTCTCTCCAAAAGTACTCTTGGCACTTTGTCAATTTAAGAGCGTCAATGACTTGACGGTACAGCCGAGTAGCTATAAATGCTCCAAGCAACTCTAATCTGGGAATAGTTACTTCTTTGGCAGGCGCTACTCTTGATTTACATAATACCAATTGTACTGAAGTTTTGCCCTCAAAATATGCACGTAGGAAAATGCATACTGCACAAGATACTTTACTAGCATCACTAAAATAATGTAGAGCGATAGAGCATTCATCGAAGGGTCCAATCACAAGTCTTCTTGAAATTTTACAATAATTCAAGAAGTGTAGTCTTTTGAGCCAAGCCTGAAATTCTCTTTCTATACCTTGTGGAAGATTTTCATCCCAGGAAAGTTTCATCTTCCATGTTTTTTGCAGAATGAGTTTTGGAATTAACGTAGTTGGACTTGTAAATCCGATGGGGTCGAATATCCTCTGTGAGACTGACAGAAGAGATCGTTTCGTGTGGGCACTCTCCAAAAATGTCAAAGAGCTTAAATTGCAATCGATTTCATCATTCTCGTTGTCACATGAGAGTCCCAGAGTTGGAATGATCTTCTGATAGGAAGTCATGCTTCTATCTTTGAATGGTGCAGCAGTCCACCCTCTCTAAGTGCCGTTCCTCTTAAATCTTGTGGAGCATTATCCAAATGGTAAGAAATCGTTGCTCCCAACAGGAATGGACTCGAAGAAATGCCGAACACGACACGACAGTGTCTGTAGGTAACAATCTCGGTTTTGTTTGAATCTTTCCACCACAGGAATTTCAAAAAAGTCTCTGTCTCTGGCACACAGATGATTTGTAAGAAAGCTTCCCTTATATCGGCAGTAACACCAATTGCATGTTGCCGGAATTGTATCAAATGTTTTGGAAGCATTTCTATTAAATTCGGCCCCTTTTCGAGGCAAGCATTCAAGGAATTCCCATTTTCATCCTTCAATAATGCATCGAATATAGGTCGCACTTTCGTAGTCAGACTGGAATCCAAATGGTAAGAAATCGTTGCTCCCATCAGGAATGGACTCGAAGAAATGCCGAACACGACACGACAGTGTCTGTAGGCAACAATCTCGGTTTTGTTTGAATCTTTCCACCACAGGAATTTCAAAAAGTCTCTGTCTCTGGCACACAGATGATTTGTAAGAAAGCTTTCCTTATATCGGCAGTAACACCAATTGCATGTTGCCGGAATTGTATCAAAAGTTTTGGAAGCATTTCTATTAAATTCGGCCCTTTTTCGAGGCAAGCATTCAAGGAATTCCCATTTTCATCCTTCAAGGATGCATCGAATACAGGTCGCACTTTCGTAGTCAGACTGGAATCCTTGATTACTGCTTTGATGAGATAAATAGTGACCAGTATCACTATTATTCGGAGCTATTTCAATTATACCTTCCTCGTGACAGCCTTTAATAATACCATCATATATTCTTCGAAAAATCCATCATCCTTCTTCTGCAGTCTTCATGTATTGGCGAAAAGTCTTTTTTCCGCTTTATCTTTATTATCTTCCTAGAATTCGATGACTATCCTTCCAAGGCAAACAGACTTTCATACTTATTGCCCTCGATTACTTTAATGTTTCTCTAGGAAAAAAATTTGATCGTTTCAGTTGTCTAAATTCTCCTTAGGTCTTCACTTCCGTCCGAATCTTTTATGCCAATTGTCTCTAAATTCCATAGTTCTGTGAGATCCAAATAACAAAGTCTGACGGTATCAAGCAAGGTATTATGACTTTGCACTGGGCCTCGCAGGGTCCAACCCAATTTTGTTTCAATGGCAATAAGGTTTTTGTCAATTGGAATGATATTATTCCTCATCAACAGTCCGGAATAGTCGGCTCTTATTAACAATCCGATATCTGGTGTATCTCTACCAGAATCACTGATTTTGATTTTATGTTCTCGAAGTGAGGAACATATATGTTTGAGTTTCACTCTAGGAATGTATCCACAAATTTTGTCTTTATCTAAAACCGATAACTCGTATTTGAATTTATTTTCCGTTCCTTGTATTTCGATATCAAAAATACCGTGGACCTGAGATTCAGTTTCCACTCTCTCACCAAAATTGTGGCTCAAAGTCTCTTGATCTAATGGGACTTAAATCTAGTCTTCTTTATTATGTCTTTCCGTAAGTAAGATCTTTGTGACCCACTGTCAAAATAGCGTTCTCACAAGCTCCTTTTTTCCATTATGGACAATCTTCACCATAATAGTTTGGAGAAGAGTTGTTTGTAGTTTTTGGTTAGACAATAAAGTCTCACTCGTTTCGTTAGCTGCTTTAGGTGCTTCCTTTTTTGAACTTCTAGAACCTTTAGTAAAACTGTACATCACCGTTACAACATGACGTTTGTTGCAAAATATACATTTCACAGAACTTTTACACTTTTCGGCAGCATGCCCAATTTTTAGGCAGTTAAAACAAGCTTTTTTTTTTTTCTTTCTTAGTAAATTTTTCTTATCTTCCAATGAAAGGCGTGCAGCTTAAAGCACTCATAAGAATTATGTGTTTCCTTGTCACACCAAACACAAAAATTAAGCTGTTTTCTTCTTTGAATCTCCTGCATAAATACAAGCTGCTGTGGCTGGAACCGAGTCAAATTTGTCTGGAGCAGAAAACTTGTAAGGGCCAACTGAAGACGCTCTTCACTTTCAACTTCAATTCGGAGAACAATGCAATAAATTTTCCAAATTTTTTCAGTGTGTGCAACACTTTCCCTACGCTGGCGAAGATCGCTCCCATGCCCTCAGAATTTCTTCAGGTAGTGAAGACTCTACAAGGGGATACAGCATACCTGCATAAATCTCACTTTTTACCTTCAGCGTTTCCAAAGGTCTGAATTGCGTCTCAACTTATCATATAAGTTGGCTAGAATCATATTTCCTTTTTTGCTAGCTTGAGCCAAAACCAACTTTAATAATTCGCGAACATAGATTTCTACCAGTAATTCGTCTCGTGCAAATCGAGATTTTAGCTGCTTGATAGCTTCTTTATAATTCGCGCCTGAGAGAGGATAACTATCTATGAGCTCTCTCGCTGGGGATCAAACGACCGTTGCTTGTAATAGGTATTGAAATTTGTCATCGTCATCTATATTTACATCTTCGTCGATCTTCTTAAACTGTCTCCAAAATCCTAACCAATTTTGGGTCTTCCCATTAAATTTTTGAAGCTCGAACTTTGGTAATTTAAAGTTCCGTTTCATGGAATTTTCTAAACTTCCAGGTGTAATTACAGGAGTGGAATTCACCATTCTATTTTCTACTTTTGTTTTTAAACTGATATATTTATCACGATATGTTTCATTCGTTTCAAAATCAGCCAAATATTCACTTTCGTTTTCACTTTTCAACAAAAGTTCGGAAATTTGTGATTGAACTTCATCTAATCTGTTGAATTTTCCTTCCAGCTGTGAGCTCAATACTTGGAGTTGATTAACCTCCACGTCAGGCTTTAGAATTTCAGCATCTAAAGCATTTTCAATAATCTTAAACGATTGCCTTAGTAGCTTACGCTTTCTCAATAAAATTTCCATGATTTTAAATTCAATATGTCCAATATATTCAAATAATAAAGGATATAATCAAATAAGTCATAAACTCACTTGATAAATTCCAATACGAAATCGATGTTTCGTTTTCTTCAAATAGCCATTCCGTCCTGTAACCGGACTCCAGTTGTTTGAAATTAATCAATTTCTTGACTTATTTAATAACTTCGGACGAATAGTAATATATTTAGCAGAGAAAACCTTTTTAATTAATTAACAACGAACTATTTTATTTAGCATTCTAAACATAACAACAACAACAAAAAAAAAAAAAAAAAAAAAAAAAAAAAACATTCCATGCGTTATCACGCTCAAAGTAATATATAAAAACAACATCACTGTTGCCACAAAAAATCTACATTATAATGAACATATTAAATTATTGTGTATTAACTGAGTTCGTGCACGTTCCTGAACACAAATCATCATGCCTTTCAATATATATTTTGCATATTTTTTCCACATACATTCATGAAGTAATCTTAAAATAGTAGTTATTACTTTTACAGTGTCTGATATGAGATATCTGTTTTAAAATCCTGCTTCAAATCCGTTATTTGTATGTTTTAATCTTTTAAATTCTTGAAGAAGAGTTTACTAGCATTCTCTCCACGCGAAATGTAGTATTAAAAATTAACTAAGTAAAACTAGAAGAATGAAATCCCACCATTATAAAATTTTATTTTTCTTTCAAAATAAGTGGTAAATAAAATAAAATATAATTGAATTTGGATTCTACGAGTCGCTCGGAACCATTATCGCTTGCTCGTGACGATAAAATCATTGAAGGTGCTCAATGAGATTATTTCTTATATATTGAGACAATATGATTATGCATGCAAATTTACAGTAAAATACAAAAATCTTGCACTCATGTGATATTAAAACCGTAACACGTTATTTATGTAAACAAAAAATATTTTGTACTGAAAATATTGTGATGAAGTGTTTCAAATTTACTTTACGCAATAAACTACTGATTATAAAATATGATGTTAAAATTCGTTTTAGTTTCATTGGTTTCATTCTGCATCATTTTCTGAAATTCTGTGGATTTCTGTATAAGTTTATGAAGTTCTGCCAATTTCTATATCGTTTTCTAAACAGAATTAAATATTTCATAATTAAATGTACTTCGCTCATTCTGGGCTCGAAAACGCACCCCTGAAAACGTCCGAAATCGTTTCGCCATAAATTCGAGAATACAAAATGTCTCTTGGAAAAATCGTTGCGGACAGAGTCGTAGCTAGGGTTTTCAGCGCCCAGGGACAACTGAAGATTTCGCGCCCCCTACTGCTTGCCAAGGATGGAAAACATTTAAATTCTAAAATGTCGTAACATCAGTTTGGCGCCCCTTGAATCCAGCGCCCGGGGACAGATGCCCCCCCCTTGACCCCTCTAGCCACGCCCCTGGTTGCGAACAGCAGCAGTACGAATTCACTGTTCCCAAATGCCTTCTGGATAAAATGTCGTGTACTGTAAATGAAATTTAGTCAATTAGTCCTACGGTTTAAATCAGTTGTTCCTGAGGAAGAAGTACTTAGAGAATAAAAGAAAGTTTCGAAGTTATTTGTGACGTGAAATAATTATTAGTCCAAAGGGTCAATTTGCCCTTTGGACTAATAATTATTTCTATTAATTTTGACTATTAATTTTGTTTTGGCATTTTGACTATTAATTTTGTTTTGGCATTTTGCGTTGAAAACTATAAACGGCGAATCACTTTTCAAATTATTGCCACCAAATATTAGAGCCCTGTATTATATTTAAAGAAATTAAATAATGAAGAATCTGCATGAATGTATGTATGCTTCTCGCATTGTGATAAAGCAACGGTAACTATAGAGCCATCAAAATTTGAAAACGTAATCTTCCTTAGAATGTGGGCATGTGGAGGCCCTAATTTGAATTTGAAATTTGTTCTATTATCGATTTCATATTTTGTAATACTTGAACGAATTTTTGGTTAGAAAACTAAACGATTTCAAAGCGAGCAATGGCAACATTACGAAAAAAAAA